CTGTAGTAAAGAGGTTATGCTGGTTAAAAGATGATTGTGCTCAGGTAGATTTCTAAAAGTAATTAAATTCTATTCTCATCATCCACATCTTCCCTTATTGAAATCTGGGTTGCTTATTTGATATTGTGAGCTATTACACTGGTTTCAATTGGTAAACCAGTCTATATCATTGAGAAAATTTATTAAGAATGACAGAAGTATTGCCCTCTCCAGGCATTTGCATCCTGGTCTGTAATTTAATGATTTATAGAAAATAAAAATTAACCATAAAACTTGAGTGTTATGTAAGGCTCTTAATTGCTCTAGAGAGCAAATTACAGGTCAATCATCTGAACAGAATTTGGGATAAGGGGTGGTGACTTTTTAGCTTGCTTAGTCTTTATAAATTAGCAGGTTCATTTTAGTGGCTGCAACCAAAGTAACCCATTGTACTCTTCATTGGATTAAATTTCAAATAACTTAAAACACACATATTTCAATTTGTTCTCTGTAGGCGGCGATGATGATCTGGAATTAAAGATAGATTCCATTGTAGAAGGCTGTGATAACATCAAGAGGGGACATTTATCAGAGGAAGTTGTGGAAATGCCAAGTCCATGCTGGGCAAGTTTGACCTTCAAATTTTTTCTTGTTTTCACCATATGTTTATGGAGTTTTAAAAGTGTACTCCCTACATTGTCCGATGGTTTCTTTCTTCTTAGACTGTTGTTGAATTCCAGATTTGAGATTTTAGGCTTTTTCGCTGGGTTGCGCATAATAGCTGCATTTTATTGTTTCAACAGGAGTTGGATGATATGTGCTATAAGAACAATTGGAGACTGCCAACTTATCGTGTATCAGCATTGGATGGTAACATCTTCTAAATTCCATCTGTTATATAAATAATGTTATACTACTAGATCCATGTCATATAACTGCTCATATCTTCTGTCTGATTAGGTTGGGCAGAAAGATTCATTTTTGTTTTACATTTGAAATTTTTGCTCTGTCATATCTAATTTCTTACAATGATATTGTTCACTTTCTAGTCTAATGGATTTGTAAAACTCCTGTCTGGATCTTTGAGTTGATGGTTGATCGTGGTGACTTTCGATGAGATGATGAACATATGAACCATGTTCTACTCTACCTAATGTTTGAGCAATGTTTCCACAACTCTAATGTTTGGAATGGATTGGCATTGATCTCTAAGAACTAATTAGTCTCTTTTGAATTTTTGAAGGTGGATTTCAGGCTAGCATAACTCTAAAAGAGATGGATTTTCAGTTAACAAGTGAGGGAGATGCGCGTTCGACAACCCAAGAAGCAAGGGAATCTGCTGCAAGACAGATCTTGGCCAAGTTGTGCAATGTGGCAAGTCTGGCTCACTAGTGATGGAAATCCCAATTTAGAGACACTAAAACCATTTTTACTCCTTTTGGTATCTATAGAACGGGGCAAATCTGGCGTTGGCTCACTACTTGACGAAATATCAGTTTACTTGTGAGACACTAGGACTTTTTCTTCAGCTTCGGTTATGGTCACCTGTGATATTGTTAAGGTGACTAATATTCTACTCTTGTTTTGTTAAATTACTTCTTTGCTCACACAATTAAACTGGAAAAACACATGAAAGTGATGAGGGCAAAGTTGAAATGGTGATAGAATGTTGGTGGCTTTAATAATATTCCTGGTGGCTGTGACTGGAGCCTGGTTTGCTTTTTGGTAGGAAACAGAGTCAAGGCCTAAGAAGCGCGATGACATCAATTTTTGCTCCCATGTAAATATGTAGTTAAAAAATTTAAATCAATACATACATGTTATATGATATGTAGTTATAATTTTAGAGCTCCTTTTTAAAATATTTTTTGAGGTGACCGGAATCTAGAAATTAGGCACGGATCCGGCCGGAGTCAAGCTACTTCGCCGGATTTTAGGAAATATCGTCGGAGTCCTTTTTATTTTCTCATTGTTTTATTTTTCATTTTCCTTTTCTTTTGGAATTAAACATATGATCCATAAAGTTGTTACATAGGATTTAATTGCTATTTCATGAGTGGGTCTTTGTTTTCACTAACTATATCTTAACCAACTTTATTTTCTCATTGTTTTATTTTTCATTTTCCTCTTCTTTTGCATCAATGTTGAAAACAGGGATAATTCATGACCCAAACCATTTCATTCTCTCTTGGAGGTTTGATTTTTGGTCATTAAGGTCTTCATGCATCAAACAAGATACACAAAATACCAGACATCTTTGTAGTTTAATCAATTTGGCATAGAGTTTTGTGATTTTTATACTTTTATGATTGTTATTTCATGAAAATTATATATTATTATTCTGAATGCTTTTTAATGCTTGATTACCAATAAAATTGATATATAGAGTATAATTGAGATCTAGAGGAGATTTTATACAATAACTTCTAATAATATATATACCAAGAGTTGAATGTAAGTCAGAGATAGACCGATTTGATTTGTATAGTATTAGTAATAAGTAGTTTAATTTTTTTATATAAATTAGGGAATTTCATATATTAAATGTCTTTATGCATAATTTATATTATACAAAAAAACACATAATATGTCATTACACAAATTAAAAGGAATCCTAACCTAGCTCCTAATGCAACTTTAAAGATAAGACGTAGGATAACAATGAATTTTGACTCACCATAACAGAAAAAACAACATAACCCCATCCCATACAAGCAATTTATCAAACACTTGGTGTACATGACACGAAAAGCTTCTAATCTACCTTAACCATTCTCTCAAAACCTCCAAAAAAAAAAAAAAAAAA